CCTCCGCCAGATCATCCCCCGCAGCTAACACCTTTTGTATCACCTCCCCCTTTCTTTAGATTGTAAGCTCCACGATCCGGGCTCTCCTATTCCTTCTGTACTGAAATGTATTGTAATTGTACTGTCTCCATTATATTGTAAAGTGCTGCGCAAACTGTTGGCGCTCTATAAATCCTGTATAATAATAATAATAAAAATTAAGAGTGCAGAGTCAGTTCTGTGACATCACTGTTATGGTCTTGGCCAGGGATTTAAGACCTAATCTATGGCATGAAGGTCCCCAAAAAGAGATCGGAACCTGAAGTATAACTAAACTGGTTATCAACCACCTGACTCTGAAGTACAAGTTTGGGTGAACTTGGCCATAGTAAATGTACTGGACATAATTTATATTCTGTATGACAATAGCCCATTACAAACATCAGTTTCACATAATTGTAACCGCTATGAAAATGGCATATGTAGATGACCTGTTTCGTGCTTCTTTGTGTTAGTTTTTTGTGGGCAGCAGTATAGCAGCTTAATGGTTAGCTCTTCTGCCTTCCAGCACTGGGGGTCCTTGTTTTTTAATTGCAACCAGGACACTATCTACATGAAGTTTGCAGTGTGTTTTCCCTATTCTTACATGAATTTCCTTTGGGCACTCCAAAGACCTGCTGATGGGTTAATTGGCTCTTGTCTGAATTTCCCCTAGTATATTTGCGGGCAGCACAGTGGCTAAGTGGTTAGCACTTCTGCCTGGCAGTACTAGGGTCACCAGTTCAAATCCCAACCATGGCACCATTTGCCTGGAGTTTGCATGTTCTCCCTGTGCCTGCGTGGGTTTCCTCCGGGTACTCCAGTTTCCTCCCCCACACTCCAAAGACATGCTGGTAAGTTAATTGGCTCCTGTCTAAATTGGCCCTAGTATGTGTATGTATGAATGTGAGTTAGGGACCTTAGATTTTACACCCCTTGAGGGTTAGGGACTGATGTGAATGTACAATATATATGTGTACAGCGCTGCGTAAATTGACGGCGCTATATAAGTACCTGAAATAAATAACAAATATATACTGTCTATCCTTGTGAGGTAGGGACCTAGAGTGTGGGTTTTTTGAGGGCAGGGACTGATATGAATGTACATTCATGTAAAGCATTGCATATGTTGTTGGCATTATATAAATACCTGTAACAAATATTTTGTGATGCTGAAAAATTTGGCATGGTTTCTAATCCTGCCAGAAAACGAACACAAAAAATTTTTTACTTGGGCATACCTCTTTTGGTGGACTTTTATAACAGACAGTTGGTAATATAGAATTCTGCTTCACGCTTTTTTCCTCTTGGATCTTTTAAAAAACAGATATTCCTGAAGCTCAGTTTAATGCTTTTGAAGCAGGAAGCAAGCATAACTCTCCTTCTGTGATAGAAAATCCTTACTTTTCAAGTAAGTTGAATCACTCCCACTCACAATCCTTTGACAATCAGCTGGCCATTGTTTAACCTCTTAAGTCCTGATTAAGTTCTACTAAAAACATAATTTTGCCAAAAGTTACAAGAATATCTGTGGTGGTATTAAGAAATAACAGAACATGAATCCATTTAATGATTTTAAAGGAAAAGCTGCAACTGAATACAGTAGCTAATGTCCTACCCCCAACTTTCTGAGATAGGAAAGAGGGACATATTAGGAAAAGTATGTGGACACAGGACACACCCCCATTACAAGGAGAATTTATTTAAACAAAGTACAGTATGATTGGGTGAACCCACAGGTGCTTTTTTTTTTTTATCCACTACTATTCCTTTATATTGGCTTTTGAAATTTACAAATGCAACAATTTAGAAGTTGGATGGGAAGGTTCCCTGCTGGCAGAACACAATAGCTCTGCAAGAGGGATTTCCCCCATCAACACAGTGTTGATTGGGGAATCAAGCAATTTTCTTTGCTTACACCTGTGGTTTAAGGAAAGAAAACCTAATCATCTATGGCGATTATCTATCAGACCTTAGGAGCTATGACTAGTGTGGCTGTATCTAAACTATATTTTTCTGGTATTTGTAAAGAAGCTTTTATGCAAGTAGGAGGCAGTGTAACAAGATTGTAGGTAAGGAAACAGTGGTATAACAAGTATTGCTTTGTTTTCTGGTCAAGGATAACAATTAAACTGGTCTGCCATATTTTGAAGGTCGAAGATTTAATACCTAATTTTAAGCCAATTTTTTTGCGCTGATTCTGAAAATCATGCTCCTTTTACCCAATCAGATCAAGTTTTTGAGATATAAGCACATACCAGATATTGCTATTTTGCAATTTTATACACAGATTTACATAATGTTATTAAAATGTTCTTAAAATATACCAAAAAGAGTAAAAACACAAAAAAAAAACCCTAATCATGGATGAAAGGTCTCTTTAGGGACTTCCGATTGTGCCAAGCAGACACCACATCACTTTGCAAGCACCAGCAGTAGTCGGGCAGAAAGTTGACATCCCATCGGCCTTGATAGCGTTCCTCCCCCCACACGGAGATCTTGGTGAAGACGCTCACCCTGTTCCTCACTGAAGTATCCACAATTCTCTGGAAAATAGTCAAGATGGGACCAAAGGAAATACATTTTCACTGACATGAGCACACCAAGTTGGCAAAAGTTCTCCATTAACTCATCAATGGCCGTCTTATACTGAGAACTTCTGTGGTTGCCAAGGAAGTTTGGAATAAGTGGCTTAAGGGACAGCCAGGCAGAAAGTTCAGCAGGATTCAATGCTTAATCAAAACTAGCATCCTTGATGAGCTCCCTTATCTGAGGACCATCAAATATACCTGCCTTAAGTTTTTCCATACTAACCCGTGGAAACCTCTGATGGAGGAAAGAAAATCTTCCACCTTCCCTGTCCAGTGCCTTTACAAAGTTTTTCATAAGTCCAAGTTTGATGTGTAGGGGTGGAAGCAATATGTTGCTTGGTTCAACCAGAGGGTTGGACAGAACGTTATGCTGGTTTTTAATCCCTGTTTGGATGGCCACTCTTGTCTAGCATAGTGCTGGTCATCAGCCCGGCTGTCCCACAAACACACAAACAAAAAAAGCATGGATACCTTGTGTACCCACCGTTAAGACCTAGAATGAGTCCAGCAACCTTAAGATCTCCACAGATCAATCGTTTGTGTTCCTTGTAGTTGAGAGCAGACAACAGATGGTCCATGCTATTGTGCGCTTCATTGCAACTGAGTATCCAACGGGGATCGATGACAACTTATTTCCGTTATTCAGAACTGCCTTGAGACTTCCCATGGACAAGTCAAAGGAAAGTCTCCATTGCATGGCATCATACTTCACAACCATTAATTTGATCAGGTCAGCAATGTTGTTGCAGTAGACCAGTGAAGACGCTTCATCAAATGTAAAGAACTTTTTCTAAATTCTCTCTCACGGTCCCGATACCAATAGAATGCTGTCCATGGTGCCAGCAGATTTTTCTCTCGAAGACGTGAACCCAATAGCTGAGCAGACTCCTTGGGAAGGTTCAGGTCTCGTGTCAGGTCGTTGAGTTCGGCTTGGGTCAATGGCATTGATCGGTCAGTCTCTTCTTGCTGGTATTCTTCACACTCAGCTGTATCGGTTGTCTCAATACATTCGGGATCAGAACTAGATTCCATGGTGATATCGGGCTCAGGAACAGGAAGATCGTCTCCATGGGGGACAGGTTTTATGGCAGAAGGAACATCGGGGTACTGGACATGATGCTTGTTCTTGCCATTGATGCCTTATAGGTTTTTCATGCAGAAGTAGCAGTCGGTGATGTGATTTTTCCCTTCCCTTACCACCATTGGAACATCAAATGGCATACTCTTCCTTTTTGTTATTTCTCCAATCCCGTAGGTTCTCCACACATGTTTTACAGCAGATATGGGAAGCGAATGGCTTATCCTGGTCCCCTAGTTTGACTCCAAAGTAAGCATGATATGCCTTCTTCACAAAACCTGTGATTTTTGCTTTATGGTTTGGAAGAAGCACATGTCCGCAGATATAGCAGAACCTATTAGGATGATTTTTATACTTGCGATTCATTGCAATACACCTGAAAAGACATGGACTTTGTTTTTCCTATATTTCCCACAGGTACAATAGCCCACTGTATTTGCAATTTACATTTAGGGTGTCATTAGGAGTATATTGACACCTGCAGCAGATCACACAAACAGTGCAGGAAATGTGTACAGAACCTGGGTTTCCCGCACCACATTCTGGTATGAACCAGCTCTTATGTTTATATACAGTAGACTTCAAATTTGACTGAGCACTTGGGTTGGGCGTAATACAAATGGCAACACTAAACAATAAACAGGAGACATACACCTCATCGCATACTAGTAAATGTGAAATCTGTACTGTAATGAGAACACGTGCTTGAGTTATCTTTTTGGTTTACACTATCATCATTTTTGGATAACTTATTGTGCTATTTTAACTTTGAACATACTTTTATTGAGGCATGAGTATAGATCAGATACATTAAATTGACATTGGATGAAACATATTTCTGTTGTTTAATTCAGCATACAGTCTGTTGAAGGTAAAATAGGCATCTAGTTTGGAGTGGGTGGTTCTTCCTGGCATTGTTGATTCTCATCTTTCCAGCTGGTAAGGAGGTTATATGGAGTGTTGATGGTGGCTTCATTTCTTTCTCTTTCCCAAATGAATTGTTTTTCAAATCAGAGAAGTGACGTTATGTTGATGGCTTATTTTTTTTATTCTTTTGGATTAACCAGCTGGTCTATTTAATTTACGGTGTGTGTGTGTGTGTAATATCTCACAGGAGTACACCCCTCACATTTTTGTAAATATTTTATTCTGTCTTTTCATGTGACAACACTGAAGAAATGATACTTTGCTACAATGTAAAATAGTGAGTGTACAGCTTGTATAACAGTGTAAATTTGCTGTCCTCTCAAAATAATTCAACACACAGCCATTAATGTCTAAACCACTGGCAATAACTGAGTACACCCCTAAGGGAAAATGTTCAAATTGGGCCCAAAGTGTCAATATTTTGTGTGGCCACCATTATTTTCCAGCACTGCCTTAACCCTCTTGGGCATGGAGTTCACCAGAGCTTCACAGGTTGCCACTGGAGTCCTCTTCCACTCCTCCATGACAACGTCACGGAGATGGTGGATGTTAGAGACATTGCACTCCTCCACCTTCCGTTTTGAGGATGCCCCACAGATGCTCAATAGAGACATGCTTGGCCAGTCTATCACCTTTACCCTCAGCTTCTTTAGCAAGGCAGTGGTCAACTTAGAGTTGTGTTTGGGGTTGTTATCATGTTGGAATACTGCCCTGCAGCTCTGAAGGGAGGGGATCATGCTCTGCTGCAATATGTCACAGTATATGTTGGCATTCATGGTTCCCACAATGAACTGTAGCTCCCCAGTGCTGGCAGCACTCATGCAGCCCCAGACCATGACACTCCCACCACTTGACTGTAGGCAAGACACACGTGTATTTGTTCTCCTCACCTGGTTGCCGCCACACACACTTGACACCATCTGAACCAAATAAGTTTATCTTGGACTCATCAGACCACAGACATGGTTCCAGTAATCCATGTCCTTAGTTTCCTTGTCTTCAGCAAACAGTTTGTGGGCTTTCTTGTGCATCATCGTTAGAAAAGGTTTCCCTCTGGGACCGCAGCCATGCAGACCAATTTGATGTAGTGTGCAGCATATGGTCTGATCACTGACATTCTGACCCCCCCCCCCCACCTCTTCAACCTCCTGCAGCAATGCTGGCAGCACTCATACGTCTCTTTCCCAAAAACAACCTCTGGATATGATGCTGAGCACATGCACTCAATTTCTTTGGTCGACCATGGCGAGGCCTGTTCTGAGTGGAACCTGTCCTGTTAAACAGCTGTATGGTCTTGGCCACCGTGCTGCAGCTCAGTTTCAGGGTCTTGGCAATCTTCTTATAGAGAGCGTGAGAGCGATAACACCAAATTTAACACACCCGCTCCCCATTTACACCTGAGACCTTGTAACACTGAGTCACATGACATTGGGGTGGGAAAATGGCTAATTGGGCCCAATTTGGACGTTTTCACTTAAGGGTGTACTCACATTTGTTGCCAGTGGTTTAGACATTAATGGACGTGTGTGTTGTTGTTATTTTGAAAGGACAGTAAATTTACACTGTTATACAAGCTGTACACTCACTACTTTACATTGTAGCAAATTGTCATTTCTTCAGTGTTGTCACATGAAAAGATAGAATCAATTATTTACAAAAATGTGAGGGGTATACTCACTTCTGTGAGATACTGTGTGTATGTGTGTGTATATGTATTATATATGTGTGTGTGTGTTGTGTATGTGTATATGTATATTTGTATGTATGTATATATATATATATATATGTGTATATATATGTATATATTATATATGTATATATATATATATATATATATATATATATATATATATATATATATATATGTATATATATATATATATATATATATATATATGTATATATATGTATATTATATATATATATGTATATATATATGTATATATATATATATATATATTATATGTATGTATATATATATATTGTATATATATATATATATATATGTATATATATATATATATATGTATGTATATATATGTATATATATATATATGTATGTATATATATGTATATATATATATATATATGTGTATGTATATATATATATATATATATATATGTATATATATATATATATATATATATATATATATGTATATATATATATATATATATATATGTGTATGTATATATATATATATATATATGTATGTATATATATATATATATATATTTATATATATATGTGTATGTATATATATATATATATATGTATGTATATATATATATATTATATATATATAATGTGTGTGTGTATATATATATCAATGTGTGTGTGTGTGTATATATATATATATATATATATATATTATATATATATATATATATATATATATATATATATTCCGTTAATACATGTAGCAATAATACTTGGAATGGTATTTGTTTATTACGTAAGCTTTTATTTATACAACCTCAATTCCATGCTATGCTATAATATATATATATATGTATTTTAGGTACTTCTATAGTGCCATCAATTTACGTAGCACTTTACATATTTATTGTACATTAATTTCAGTCCCTAACCCTCAAGGGGTGTACAATCTAAAGTCCCTAACTTACATTCATACATACACATACTAGGGTCAATTTAGACAAGATCCAATCAACCTACCAGCATGTCTTTGGAGTGTGGGAGGAAACCAGAGTACCTGGAGGAAACCCACACAGGCACAGGGAGAATATGCAAACTCCAGGCAGGTGGTCCTGTGGCTGGGATTCGAACCAACGACCCTAGTACTGCCAGACGTAAGTGCTAACCATTTAGCTAGCCAATGTGCTGAATATATATATATCTCCTTGAAAATGTATTGGGATTTTATATGATAGACAAACACAAAGTGGAACATAATTGTCAAGTGGAAGGAAAATGATAAATTGTTTTAAAAATTTTTTTACAAATATATGAAAAGTGTGGCATGCATTTGTATTCAGTCCCACTGAGTCAATACTTTGTAGAACCAACTTTTCGCTACAATTACAGCTGTAAGTCTTTTTGGGATGTCTCTACCAGCTTTGCACATCTAGAGAGTGAAATTTTTGCCCATTCTCCTTTTGCAAAATAGCTCAAGCTCCGTCAGATTGGATGGAGAGGGTCTGTGAACAGCAATATTCAAGTCTTGCCACAGAGTCTCAGTTGGATTTAAGTCTGGAGTCGTTGTCCTGCTGGAAGGTGAACCTCTGCTCCAGTCTCAAGTCTGTTGCAGACCCTTACAGGTTTTCTTCTAAAATTGCCCTGTATTTGGCTCCATCTTCCCATCACCTCTAACCAGCTTCCCTGTCCCTGCTGAAGAAAAGCATCCCCACAACATGATGCTGCCACCACCATTTTCACGGTGCGGATTATCTGTTCAGGGTGATGTGCAGTGTTAGTTTTCCACCACAAATGGCATTTTACTTTTAGGCCAAAAAGTTAAATTTTGGTCTCATCTGACCAGAGCACCTTCTTCCACATGTTTGCTGTGTCCCCCACATGGCTTTTCGCAAAATGCAAACAAGACTTCTTATGGCTTTCTTTCAAAAATGGCTTTCTTTTTGTCACTCTTCTATAAAGGCCAGATTTGTGGAGTGCACAACTAATCGTTTTCCTGTTGAAAGATTCTACCACCTGAGCTGTGGATCTCTGCAGCTCTGCCAGAGTTACCGTGGACCTCTTGGCTGCTTCTCTGATTAATGCTGTCCTTGCTCGGCCTGTCCGTTTAGGTGGACGGCCATGTCTTGGTAGGTTTGCAGTTGTGTCATACTCTTTCCATTTTTGGATGATGGATTGAACAGTGCTCCGTGAAATGTTCAAAGCTTGGGATAGTTTTGTATAATCTAATCCTGCTTTAAAATTTCTCCACAACTTATCCCTGAGGTATCTGTTTTGTTTCTTGGCCCTCGTGATGCCTCTTGTTCACTAATGTTCTGTAACAAACCTCTGAGGGCTTCACAGAACAGCTGTATTAATACTGAGATTAAATTACACACAGGTAGACTCTATTTACCAATTAGGTGACCTCTGAAGGCAATTCATTCCAAAGGTCAGAAAAAAGTAAATGCTACTAAAATACTGCATGAGTTATTTTATCAAGTCATGCGGTATTTTAGTAGTGACAACCGTCTGTTAATGTTTCAGCTGTCAGCGGGGTTCCCCACTGACAGCTGAATGTTAAAAAAAATTGCTGGCAATTAAAAAAATGTTTTTAAAACGGCGTGAGGTCCTCCCTCCCATCCATGCCAAAGCCCTTCGGGTCTGGTATGGATTTTGAGGGGAACTCCATGCCAAAATGTAAAAATAAAAAAATGGCGTGGGGGGTCCCCCCAAAATCCATACCAGACCCTTATCCGAGCATGCAGCCTGGCAGGTCAGGAAAGGGGGGGGCAAGCATACTCCCCCCCCCCCCCCCCTCCCGAACCATACCAGGCCACATGCCTTCAACATGGGGGGGTGCTTTGGGGGAGGGGGGGCTCTCTCCCCAAAGTACCTTGTCCCCACATGTTGGGGACAAGGGCCTCTTCCCCACAACCCTGGCCGGGCAGAGAGCTTATCAGAATCTGGAAACCCCCTTTAACAAGGGGGCCCCCAGATCCCCCACCCATGAGAATGAGTACGGGGTATATGGTACCCCTACTCATTCACAAAAAACAAAGTGTAGTGTGAAAAAAGACAGGGCATAGTCTTTGGAAAGTCCTTTATTAAAAGAAAAAACTAAAAGAATGTCCCCCACAGTAGAGCCAACGTCAATCACGATGCCAACCGTCACTGCCGCCAACCCGAAGAAAGAAATTAATAAAAAAAAAAAAAGGCTGCCTGCTCCAGTGGTTTGACAGTTCTTAAATATGTAAGGAGCGGGGCCACCCGGGGACATCACACATGTGACCCCACCGGTCAACATCACTCGGGTGATGTCCCAGCGTAGCCCCGCCCCTTACATATCTAAGAATTGTCAAACCACCGGAGCAGGCAGACGGCTGGAAGCCATAGTCCGGAGCGGAGCCTTTTTTTTTTTTCAGGTCGGCGGCAGTGGCGGTGATGGCGGGCATCGTGATTGACATTGGATCTACTGCAGGGGACATTCTTTTAGTTTTTTCTTTTAATAAAGGACTTGTCAAAGACCATGTCTTGTCTTTTTTCACACTACACTTTTTTTTTTTTTTTTTTTTTTTTTTGTGAATGAGTAAGGGTACCACATACCCCATACTCATTTGCATGGGGGGGCTGGGATCTGGGGGCCCCCTAGTATAGTTCAGGAGGAGGGGTGCTTGTTTGTCCCCCCCCCCCCCCCTCTCCTGACCTGCCGGGCTGCATGCTCGGATAAGGGTCTGGTATACGGTATTGTTTTTTTTTTTCATTTTAAATTTTGGTGTGGGAGTTCCCTTCAAAAATCATACTAGACCCAAAGGGCTTGGTATGGATGGGAGGGGGGGACCCCTCTCCGTTTTATTATGATGCCGGTTTTTAAATGTAATTACCACTTTTCTTTTTTTCTTCACTATAGCTCAGAAATTCAGCTAAAAGAAAGAGAGTTTTCTTTTAGTTATTTCCCAAGTTAAGAGAAACAATGTTTCCTTTTAGTTTCTTAAAAGAAACAAAGTTTCCGTTAACTCCGGGAAAA